CCGCCCCCACCCACCGACCCCACAAACCCATCCCTCCCGGGATTCACGGGGACTCGCTCTGTATCCGATTCTCTGCCCCCAGGGCAGCCTCCAGATCCCTGAGGGACCACAGTAAATCCCTCTAGCAAATTAGACCTCCATTCTGGTTCAATCAAAAAATTAGTACAGATGAAAATCCCCTCTTCCACTAGCTTAACCCCTTAATGACCCTCCACAAACTCCCATTGTTCTCTCCACTAGGTGACAATCTAGGACTTAAATAGAAGATTTATGTTTGAATATGATGTGTCTATGGTAGGCAATAAAGAGTCAGTTTAAGTTCCAATATCCACCTCAGATCTCTAGTTCTTCCAGGACTATATTTGTTTTCTGCCAGATTTTCAAGTGTGAAACTATGAAACATTGGGGTCTACTTCATTTTTCCTAGATATTTCTCTAGGATGGCACAGATCCTTGGACCATGTGTATTAAACACAACTACTCATCCCCAGCGATCATTTTTACTAAGTCAACTTTTTAAAGCCTTTTAGCAGAACCCAGACATTGCAGCACGCAGTCCAAACCCTCTCAACATGTTGGATTTCCTAAATCATGATGAAAAAGCTGCAGGGAGTCATTACCACCCGGGACATGGAATATTCTGGGAGCATGGGTTGATGTTCAGAAAACCAAGAAACAAGGATTGAGTAATTTTTGTTTCATATGCAGAAATGTGATATTCTGATGGCGATTACATTCTCCAAAACTAAATACATTCACAACAAAATGAGTACAGTTGACAAGGCTATTAGCAGTGACCTGCCAGATAGAGGAAGGAAGAAGCTGCCACTTACCTAATTGGTTTTTTTCTCTTAAGCTTTCTGACAACCACTCATTTTTCAAAATAGTCTTTTCTTACTGGTGTTAGTGAAAATAAAGCCTTAGGCTTCTTTCTTCAACGATGACATTATTTCTCTGTATCTTCTGCTTGTGGAGGTGAAGTGACTGCCATGATCAGCTTTTTATCTTAATGTATACAAAGTAATGCTGTTAGGGAACATAACTATGGCTACTTTGCATGTCATGACAGTGTATAGAACAGGGATAGACAACTGCATGGTGTAGGAAAGGCAGGAAAAACAGAAAGAGGATACAAGAGAGAATCAGAAAGAAGATGGAAGACACTAGAAGGAGCAACAACTGTCAAATGCACGTTACAACAAATGGGAGCGACATGAGAAGAGATGGAGAGATTCCAGTGAGGAAAACATAAGTAGAAACAGCAGACAGAATGGACCTAGAAGAGATCCAAAGAAAAACCTGGAGATGGAGGACACTGTATAAGGAAAAAAATTAATGAGAGAATGCACAGGGGAGTTGAAAACACAGGTGTAAAAAAAGCACATTAAATAGAAATGGGTTGAACCATTAAGCAGCTACATTAGGAGTCAGGAGAGAGTAAAGGCATGTTCTTCATCTCTTAAGAGTCTTTTTGTGCATCAGATCAGAGTTAAGCTCTCCACAAAGTTCAAAGAAATTTGCTAGACCTCCCTCCAAAGGCCAATAGTAAAGAGATCTTATTATTACATGAGCCAATTTTATGCATTTGGGAATTATCACAAGGTACTTGTCCTGGTTTGAGCCAGGATGAAGCCAATTTTTCTTTTTGCTGATTTTTTTTCCTTCAGTAAGCTTTCTTGTAACTAGCAACAGTGTGTTCTGCTAGGCTGATAAGACAGTGGAATGTTTTTCTAACTACTGAGGCTTCAAGGCCGCACCTGCACTCTGCCGGCTCAGACACTATGGGGAGATCTGTGACCCCCCTGTAGGAGGCTGAGTTAGATGGACAGCAAAATTGGCCAAAGATATTCCATTCCATATATCTACGTAAGCTCAGAGGAAGGTCAGAGATCACAGAAGACAACTTCCTTCCTTCTTCTTCTCCCCTTCTCTTCCGTCCATGGCTGGCGTCCGGGGAGGACTCTGTTCATCCATCACCGTCGACCCTTAGGCTCGAGATCTCTCCTGACCCCCATAACTCTCTGCTCTTTTCCAGACAGCAGCTCCGGGATTCCTCGGGACTCTTCCCAGTTCAGGGAAGTGCTGTGGGAGTTGCTGGGGTGGGGGGAGGCGAGAGGTTTTTTGCCCATTCCTGAATATATTTGTATATAATTGTATATATTTTCTTGTATTATTCATTAGTGTTTTAATTAAAGCTGTGTAGTTTAGTTTTCAATCCAGCCAAGTCTCTCTCTTTTTCTCTCTCTCCTTCCCTACCTGGGTTGGGGGGAGGGGGGATCGAGAGCATTGTTGTCGGACCTGAGTCAAACTGTGACAGTACTTCAGCCATACCTGGGTTCATTACTGCATGCACAAAGTATCCATGGCCCTCTGAAAGCTTATTTCAAACCAGCCTTTGTGGCAAAGAGTGAAGCCAAATACAGCCAAACTGGCAGCAAAAATGAAAAGCAGGAAGGCAGACCAAGCAAGAGAATGCCTGAAGAGGATTTTGAACATGAAGTCAAAGCAAGGAAAGGAGAGTGATCTCTGGAGAGTAAGATGGCCAGTACCTTCTCATATGTCAGTGCTATCTACCAGCTATTCTTTAGGATTAGTGATTTTCAACTTTGGTACTGAAGACAAGGACCTGCTGCTGTCATTGCCTCTTCTCCTGCTACCCATGCGGATACAAATGGAGCACCCACCCCCTTACCAGTGTGCAGCTATTGCCAGGGGGGTGTTTGCAGTTCTAGCATGGAGGGGACTTGACACCAACCATCCACCAACTGGACATGCTGCCATCCAGCTCACAGCAGTGGAGAGGGTTCAACCACCTCATAATGGTGATCCTGCTGGGGAAGAAAATGGCAACCCAGGTTTCATCCTGTGTGAGATCACTGTTTTCACACATCTCTGCCTGTCAGACTGAGGTGTTTTACAATACAAGGTAGGCGGACGTGCCTGAAACAAATGCAGCTGATCATCACTTCAGTCTCACAGAGGACACTATCAGTTAATTAGTTTATAAAAGTAATCCTTTGTGTGTTGGCATATTGTATCCACTTTGTACGTCATACAGGAAGAACATACTCCCAATGCTGTCAAAAAAGTTCCTTTGTTAACTGTCAGCAACCAAACATGCAAAAGGTTAATTATCCTCTTTTACCAAGTCCTTAAGCACCACACCAGGCTCATAATGAGCTTCAAGAATTCTTCAGTATTGTCAAATCTTCTGTTAGTCATGATATGCTAATTTATGCTGTCTGATGTGAAGCCAGCTAACTGTGATAAAGAAACCATTAAAGACCTCAAAGAACAAATCAAGCTGAATAAATTATTGGAGGATCTGGAGCAAACACACACCAGAAGACTACCTGTCATAAATAAGACATATTCTTATGCTGTTGTCAACCAGTGGGCTCATACAAAATAACAATTTATCAACACCTTGTGTCTACTCCCTGTTGTAATTTATATTTCAATCCTTGCTCCTTGACAGCATTATGAAAAGCTCTCCACAAATGGCTGATGAAGCCACTCCTCTCTTTTCATCTGAAGACCTGAAATACTGCCTGGCTTAGTGGGTGAAATGCCTGAACAGTGTTGCCAGGTGTCAATGGTTGTGTTGTATACAACAAACTTGCACAACAACAAACCTGAGCTGACTAAGGGAGAGTTATCTTAGATCATACTACCTGCTTTTCTACCAAGATTCCCCCAAAGAGCTTCTTTTAACTCCTGCATCCATTAATACCCTGAGAGAGATCAAAAGATCTCTAAGCCCACCTCCACAAATGAGAAAGAATGCATAGATCTTTAATCATGAGACTTCTAGTTTATGGACTTCAAGTTCTTTCTCTGTAAATCCTCTTTCCAGTTAGCAATAAATAAGGCTCAATTCTAATTCTTCCCTTAATATCTTTATTTGTTATGCAGCAGGAGAAATTTACCAAGAATTTCCTAACAGAATATGAGAACAAAACATTAACTCTTTATGGGCACGATCTTCAGGATGCACCTGTCTGAAAAAGCATCTTTCAGGGTAGTGATTAACCAAACGAAGAGGAAAGCAAAAATACTAAGACGTGCAAAAAGGAATTCACAGGCAGAAACAATCTTGCAGAGAGAGTCTTCCCTGAATCTGTGGGGCATCATTTCCTACCAAGGAATGGCACAGAGCTGGTAGGGAGATCATAGAATCACAGAATCCTAGGGGTTGGAAGGGACCTCGAGAGATCATCTAGTCCACCCCCCCTGCCAGAGCAGGGTCACCTAGAGTACATCACACAGGAACTCATCCAGGTGGGTTTTGAATGTCTCCAGTGAGGGAGACTCCACAACCTCCCTGGGCAGCCTGTTCCAGTGCTCTGTCACTCTCACAGTAAAAAATTTTTTTCGGATATTCACCTTGAACCTCCTGTGCTCCAATTTACACCCATTCCCCCTTGTCCTATCACTGCTCATCACTGAGAAAAGCCTAACTCCGTCCCCCTGACACTCACCCCTTACATATTTGTAAATATTGATGAGGTCACCCCTCAGTCTCCTTTTCTCTAAGCTAAAGAGACCCAGCTCCCTCAGCCTTTCCTCATAAGGGAGATGTTCCACTCCCTTCATCATCTTTGTAGCTCTGCACTGGACTCTTTCAAGCAGTTCCCTGTCCTTCTTGAACTGAGGGGCCCAGAACTGGACACAATACTCCAGATGCGGCCTCACCAATGCAGAATAGAGGGGGAGGAGAACCTCTCTTGACCTACTAACCACACCCTTTCTAATGCACCCCAGGATGCCATTGGCCTTCTTGGCCACAAGGGCACATTGCTGGCTCATGGTCATCCTCCTGTCTACCAGGACCCCCAGGTCTCTTTCACCTACACTACTCTCCAGCAGTTCAGCCCCCAACCTGTACTGGGACATGGTGTTGTTCTTCCCCAAATGAAAAACTCTGCACTTCCCCTTGTTGAATTTCGTCATGTTTCTCCCCGCCCAACTCTCCAACCTATCTAAGTCTCTCTGAATGGCAGCACAGCCTTCTGGTGTGTCAGCCACTCCTCCCAGCTTAGTGTCATCAGCAAACTTGCTGAGGGTACATTCTATACCCTCATCCAGGTCGTTGATGAAGATGTTGAACAACACCGGTCCCAGTACCGACCCCTGTGGGACAAGAGATGGCTTCATGGTGCTCCCAAAAACAAGTTTAGTATTGATTTCCTTCACTCCTTTTAGCAGTGTGAACTTGAATGCCTTTAACAGGGTGGAAATTATAATGAAGAGCTCCATCCTTGCCAACAGCTCCCCCATGCACACACGGTGCCCTGTGAAAAGACAAAAAAGGCAATCAGCACAAGCACTGCTGTCACACCTCACTTTCTAACCTGCTTGGGAGTTCGGGTTTTCTGTTTGTTTTCTGCAGCCTTTGTCCTTTTCTCTTAACTTACTTTGTTATTTAGTGATTCAGAACTGAATTTTGTATTTCTAACAGAAGTGAAAGCTTTACTCTGTATTTCCAGCAGGCAGCAAAACATAGAAATAATCTCCAGCATTACACAGTTTGCATTTACAGTCTTTCTAGGACTGTGCATTTTGCTGCTAATATTTTGATATCTGGATCTCTTCTTCAGGAGAAACTGGATCTATCTCCCAAGAGACATTTTTCTCTGTGTCATTCCTTGTCTTCCAGTCTTTTCATATACAATTGGATTTGTCTCTTCCTGGAGATCTTTGGAACAGTGGAATGTGTTTATATATCTACTCGTATATCCCTTCCCAGGGAAATGAATGGATCTTAAGTTGATCTCACATGGAGTCAATAAATCCCTGTTCAGTGCACATACCTATTGAAAATGGTAAGAATGCTTCTCTGTTCACAAAGTTTCCATCTTTATCCAGAAAGCGGCCTGGGTTGAACTGATCAGGTGTCTCCCATTTTTCAGGATCAGACAGAATGAAGTCAGTATTTGCTAAAATCATGGTGTTCTGAAAAAAAGGAGGAGCTGCTTCTGTTCTGTCTTATTGTGCACACTCATCAGATAAGCAAAAAATGACAAAGAAGCAAAGGATCCAAAGTTCTAATTTAAAGTCTCATTTTTTTTCAAAAATGAGATCAAGCTTTAAAACAATTCATGAGAAGTTTAACCTTTTGAAAATGCTGTGTTTCCTTTGACTTGCTACCAATAATTTTAGTATAATAAATGGTTAGGATGCTATGATGTTAACATTGTTAAAAACGTTACTTTTATTTTTCCTATTGTCACTAACTACTTATTCAGCTTTTGAGTTACAAAATAATATGAGTATCAGCTTCATTTTCCTGTTTGTTACTCAATAAATTCTGCAACCCTAGATCTGCTTTGAGCAGATCAAGACAAAAGGAATGAAAATGAAACTGCATGAAAAGCAGGGATGGGAGAGCATTTAGAAACAAACCCTTGTGTACCTTTCAGTTACAAAACTTGAAAATACTTTTTATTATAATGTTTGCAAGATCCTGCATTTAAAAGGTCTGATATGAAAATAATTTCAATTTTCCAAGTTTTTCAGAAAAACTTTTTTCCAGTTTTGCATGGCCTCTGTTCACCAGCAGATAAGCCATTTTGACAAGGGACAGACCTGACTGAGATTGCTGAAAATGAATATATTTATATTTATAAATTTATTTATACATTTTTTTATTTATTTCCAGTCACCATTCAAAGTTTTCAGAAATAGCAATTCAGAAATCTACTAATAGGACAAAGTGCACATCTCTTTGCAAAAGGGCAGCCTTAGAGGCAGTCATAACTTAGGGGCACTGCTAGAATCCACAGCTCACAGGAGTTCATGTCCCCAATCAGGAAATCTAAAGCCTTTCTAAATGCATCCAAAGACCTGCTGGCATCAGCAGTTCTCAATCCCAGTTGCTTTTCAACTAAATGAGCAATTAAATAAAAAGAAACTAAAAAAGGACAGTATTTTGGGAATCTCTAGCTGTGGTGGCTTCAGTAGTTAAGAAGTTACACCAAATCATTTTTTTAAACTGTTAGAAGTGTCCCAGATGTCAGATATTGAAACATGGGGCATATTTGTACCTTTGGAACAGGAAATCCCAGCAGTTCTGTGTCCCTCAGGCTCTGTCTGGGAAGTGAAATTAAGATTATGTTACTGTAGCGCTGGATCTCATGAATCACAGAGTTTGTGTAGGGCAACTTTCTTCTCTCCTCGTAGCAAATAAAATGGGAACAACCCAGAACAGCATCCAGCTCCTTCTGGACTTTCTCTAAGGAGGAATATTCAGCTTTAATGACACAACAAACAATCTATAAACTCTATACTCATATTTCTCCTATTGCTCTTTACAGTGAGTATAGCATCCAACAAGACTAAAAAGATGTTGTACAAAATAAGAATTCCTTCAAATTGCTGTACAGAGGACCTGAACAAAATGTGTCAGTGAAGCTGTTTATAGCTTACATACCCAAGAAATACTTTAAAAATAATGATAGCAAAGTTGTTCTATAAGAATCTTTTGGTTCTTGTTACATTTACTGTTCTGAAATAATTTCTAAAAATACTTTTATCAATATTTGTTTTTACAGGCAAGGAATCAATTGGAAAATGAAATACTACTTATCTATTAGAAGACCAGCTTAGAAACTGATCAAGGATTGTTCTTCACTCAGAACCACATAGATTTGGTTTGTCACCTACAGATGGCCTGATTGCTATTCTTTAAGTACCTGCCTTGGGAAGAACTTACAGCTGTACAGAGGACCTGAACAAAATGTGTCAGTGAAGCTGTTTATAGCTTACATACCCAAGAAATACTTTAAAAATAATGATAGCAAAGTTGTTCTATAAGAATCTTTTGGTTCTTGTTACATTTACTGTTCTGAAATAATTTCTAAAAATACTTTTATCAATATTTGTTTTTACAGGCAAGGCATCAATTGGAAAATGAAATACTACTTATCTATTAGAAGACCAGCTTAGAAACTGATCAAGGATTGTTCTTCACTCAGAACCACATAGATTTGGTTTGTCACCTACAGATGGCCTGATTGCTATTCTTTAAGTACCTGCCTTGGGAAGAACTTACACAAATTATTTTTTCCAATAACTTTTTTTTTTTCCCCCACTCTTTCTGTGCCTGGTATACAGCTTAAATTCCCAATTATGAAGGCTTTTAAGTGATTAGTATACCTTTTAATCCTTTCTATCCTGTACATTCTGACTCTTCCTTTTCACTTATTTTACTCTCCCAACCTCTGTCTTTCCTCTGTGAATATCATTATTAAAAGCATACAGTTTCAAGCTACTCATCCCAATTTTTTAAAATATCTATATATGTGTAGGTATTTGAAGTTTTCAGCTTCAGGGAATAACCACAAATACTAGCAACCTCCTACTGTATTGAAGTTATTTCTGCTGCCAAGAAGCAGAAGCACATCAAAGATGGGGTTGAAAAGGCCAACCTGAAGACCTTGTCCTCAGAAGAAGTCTAATAATTATTGTCAGAAGAATCGCACTCTGCATTCTGTATAGATGTCTTAAAAATGAAATCTAAAATGACTGGCCATTAAGTAAGAAATGATACAAGAGACATGCAGTTCACCTGCTTAATACCCCAATTATTAGTTCCTCTACCATTCTTTGAACAAGCTCTATTTGGCCAAGCATAATTTCTGAAAAGTTGCAGAACTATTTGGGTGTTTTTACCTTGAATATCAGGATAAAGCACCATATAGAGCAATGCCCAACATAAAGTGGTGGCTGTAGTTTCTGTACCTGCCAGAAAGAGGTAAAAAATGCTCTGCATCAAGTTTTCTTCATCATAAGTAGCATCAGCGTCTCCTTTAGTCCGCAGATATGGCACACAAAAACCAAAAACATCACCTTGCATCAAAGGAATATTTACTGATACTATCCAAAATGAAAATAAAAAAAGAAAAGAAAGGGCTAGAAAATAAAATTTGCTGAATGATATGAAAAAAAATTTCTAATATTCTCCAGTAAGAGTTCTTTCTAGTTGTGACTTAACCATAGGTAGATCTGTTACTATTGTGGTTACTGAAAATCTACCTGTAAATCTACTTACATTATTACTTCATCCTTCTGCCATCTCTCAGTGTCTGCTTTTTCTAATTCACCTACATGTAAGTTTTTCTGTGGAGAAACTGTGTATTTCTAAATTTCTATTAGATATTCATTATCACCAAAGGACTGCTTAAAATCTCTCGTTAGTTGAGTGCAAGAAGAGTGCAGAGACACTCACTTTACCTATCTCATCCAAATAGTAATCAATAAAATCTTGATTTTCATCTCGTTTTCCTCTTTCCTTGTGGCTTTCAATTTCCTTTGCTAATAGAGCATTCACAAAATTTAGTCTGGAAATGGCCTGTTTCGTTGATGCTAGGAAATGTGTTGCAAACCAGGGAAATAATTCAAATACCTATAAAAAGAGGTATTTTAGATATGTGGTATTACTGATATTAGCAAACTAAATTGGCATCCTAATAAAGATGTTTGGATAATGGAAAAATCAAAGACTCTGATGACTGCATCTTCACCATGACATTGAAGGGATAGTGCCTATCCCACGATTCATTAAAACCTTTCTTAATCCTATTTTTCCCTTGAGAAGAATTTCTCTTAGTTTTATGCTATTTTTTCCATTGTGATATGCAAAGAATAAATGAGGCTTCTCTGTAGCCCTAATCTTTGCTAGGCTGGAAGTTAATAGCAAGGACCTCATATAAAATATGTCTCTGTTCTCAAATTATCCAACATGCATATAATTGACATCTTATCACTGAAAAAACAGATCTGGGATGACTTTCATGAAACATCTGCTACCTGAAAATAGAAATTGACAAACCCAGGTTTATTTCCTTGCTGTAGGATCCTGAACATGTGGGGATTTTACTCAGCTACACTTCTCATCAAGAAGAAGCAAACACATCACATCTGTGTGATGTTCAAAAAAACAACTTGATGAAGTAGAAATACTGAGCCATGTGGATTCCCTACTGTCTGTTCACTGTTCTGAACCTATTCATGTTCTTGCACTTACACCATTCTATATATATAAATATATATAAAACCACATCTCAGTAGAAAACAAATAAAACACTTTCTAACATTTATTCCATTACTTAATTGCCCTTTCTTTTTTCCCATTACAGATTGCAGCAGGTCCTTCCAGGTTACAGAATTACTGCAGCTTAAATTATGCATTAGGCCATAGCTCTTGGGCTCAGCTATTGAAATGGTGGCTGTATGACAAAGATTTACCTTTCCACAAACTGATCTGATTCCTGACTTGTATTTCTTCTCTGTCCTATTGCATAATTTTGCTTAAAACTACTTAAGAGGAGAACAGATTAGTACAGACCATCAATAAAGGATTGTGCATCACTCTGAAAGCACTGTGGAGAACAGGTCTGAATTAAATACTGGGCTAGAATGTTTTTTTCTTAGCTGTGGACACACTATTAAGAACAGCTTATACAAATACCTACTGAGAGTAGTTTAGAATTATCGGATCCTGTGTTTACTCTGATTAGAAGACAGGTTAGGAATCATTCTACTGACATCTTTTGGGAGAAAAACCATCATAAGTAGTTTTTGGGTTTGTTTTCTTTAACCAAAATTCTCAAATTAGTCCTCAAATTCTCTAGGGTCTTGTCTACAGCAGTTCCCAGCTAATAAGAGGTGGTGGAAATCATGCAAGACAAAGCCAGATAAGTTCCAGCAAGCTGTGCAGAAGCAGGCTGCCTTGTACATTGCTAAACCGACTTACTGGCTATATGCAGTATTGCAGCTCCCATTCATAAAGGGCTAGTGATAAAACTGCCTTTGCTTGAAGCAATCTGTTCCACTGTTTTTTGCAGCTTCACACAGAAGCAAGGCAGCATTTTTCCCTCTCCAGTGGGCCAGATGTGAAGTTAGGAGCTGCTGTCAAATACCATCCAGCAGCTCATTCAGCAGAGATTACTGGACTCTCATCAGGACACACACAGGTGGTACAGGTGTTGCTGCAAAAAGCTATAGGAACAGCTACCATTAAGCAGTTTCATCATCTGTTACCTTTGTTCAGAACAATTGCTCTTAAGTTTCTATGAAGTTACCTAACACTAGTGAAGGAAGTGGTAAAGACTGATATTACTCTTGGCAATTATTGACAGTCATATTATGTCATTGAGTGAATAAAACCACTTTGTCAGACAGAGCTTAAGACAAACCTATTCTGGAGCTTTTCAGATATTTTAACCTGTATTTTACTACTGAGTTACAGTTTCAAACACAAGAGCTGTATAGGAACTGCTTTTGCAAGACAGTCCTTTGTACATCTCCCAAACACAAGGCAAGCCTACAGGCTTCCATCCCTGTCCATCAGGCATGGGAAATGTCTGAGTAACAGAAGCAAGTTCTGAACTCAGCATCTGGATGTACTGTTCTGCTGCACACCCCAGCAATTCCAGGTGCACAACTATTCATTTTTGTTGTAAAAGTAGCACGCCAAATGCCTTTTTGATTGTCCCTCTATATCAAGCAAGCAAACAACAAAAAAAGAAAGACATTGGCATCACGCACGGTCTCTGCCCGGCAGCAGAAGTCATGGAAGCAGGATGTGCTCCTCTGCTCACCCCCATTTTCTAACTCGCACAATGGAATCAGACTGCAGCACTGATCTGCTTCTGAAGAACCACAGATATTGTAGCCATTTATGTAAATTCTTGTTCAGACTTCTTAATCTTTTTAATAAGGAATGTAAAACTTACCAGAGAGAGTTGGAACAAACTTGGAAAAAAATCTGCTTGGAACAGAAAAGAGGAATGAGCTAGCCAGAGCATGTTGTGCCAGGCAATCAAAGAGATGAGCACAAAATGTTCCTTATTTAATTTTTTTGCACTAAGACTGCAGAGCAGAAGTCTCAAACAGCTCAAGACTTATAGGTCTATTTAAAAACACAGAGTTAAGTGGACCAGATTATTTTACTTAAAGTCTCTTATTGTACTTAAAGTCTCTTTGAAAAAATCTTACCAATGGAGATAAAAGTCCTTTGTAAAAAATTGTAAAAAGACCTGTCTCTCCATTAGGATGTTTTTTTAAGAAACTTTAAGTGAAAGAAGATTTAAAGCAATATAGATGCCATCATTTTAAGATTGTTATGATAATCATCCAGTACTACCAAGCACACAAAAACTCAGTACAAAGCACAAAGGTAATAAATGTAAATATTACTAAAACACAAAGAATCAGAATTAGTCAAGCAAATATCTGCACCTTTTCAAAGCCCTCCTTACCACCCTCTATGCAGCCTACACAAAGAATTCCACAGTATAACAAACCCATGTAATTAATTTATACTTTAAAAACAAGTAATTAACTACTTAAAGCTCATATTTTAATGTGACAGCAGAGTTTTTAGATAGTATCTGTAAAGCTCTACAATAACATTGCTATTAATAACTGTAGGAAAGGTGCAGGGGGATCAGACAGCATCAATTACTCACTTTCTCTATCTGATCCAGGTAAAAGTCAATGAAATCTTCTGGTTCACCTATTGTGCCTCTT